GCACAGATAAGGCAACACTATAGCTACTTCAGGGAAACTACTAGTAGTTCATTGTTACTGAAGCATAAAATGCAGAACTGAGCATGATGAGCCATGATAGATACAAGGGCCAGAGCATTACACAGCTATATATGTGTTAAGTGAATGAGCTTGTCCTCTTCTCTGTGAATGATGGGGAGCAGTCATGGATCTTATTTTTACAAAAGCTGCTCCCAGTGATGCTTGGGAAGCCTAGAGTCATTTCAGGCAGTCAACCAGTATAAGACAGATTGTGCCCAACAGTTACGTGTTCAGGTCCAGCAATGCTTGGGAACTACTACCAGGGCTACACCTTTTTTTTTAATGCAGGAGAACTGCTATTTATTCAGCCAATGATTAGCTGATTGAATTGGGCATGAACTCTACCTTACATTTTTTTCTTTTTTTATAATTTTATTTATTGAATCACCGTGAGAGCAGTTACAAAGCTTTCAGGTTTATGTCTCGCTCATACAATGAAACACCCATACCTTCTCCAGTGCCCATTCTCCACCACCAAAAAGCCCAATATACCCCCATCCCACACCCTCCCCCTAAACTGTGGGGCAGATGATTTCCACATTACTCTCTCTCTACTTTGATTACATTCAATATTTTGACACCAGATCCACCATTATTATTTGGGATTTTACCCCAACACTCAGATCTGCTGGAAAGGCAACAGTAGACAATTTGTTTTCTATTACTGATTATGAATAACATATGATGTCGCATGGCTGCAATAGGTGCCGCGCAATTTTGAAATTCTGAAATTTTAACACTTAAATCTGGAGGGATTTCTGCCAAAATCTACTGGGTTCCGAGATTTATTCCTGAGTCTCTGGGATCATGGCCATTAAACAGCTTGATCAGGAGCCAGAGAGGCCATTCATGGGTGGCGACTTGGGGTCTCTTTGGGACAGGGAGGTAAGGGCCGGCTCCACGCCCATCCCGTGAGGCCCCATGTGTCTTGTCACTGAGGGTCCGAACCTGACTGTCCAATGGCCTCTGGAGGATGGCATCTACCGAGCCGCCTAGAGAGAGCAGACAGAGGGACAACACCCTTCCCCCCTGTGGTGGCCCGGCGACAGAACCTATTGTGGGTCCAGACTCATTTCTGCCAAAATCCACTGGGTTCCAAGATTTGTTTCTTAGTCTCTGGGATCATGGCTGTTAAGCAGCTTGATCAGGAGCCAGAGAGTCTGTTTGTGGGCCATGACTCGGGGTCTTGTTGGGGTGGGGAGGAAAGATCTGACTCCAACCCATCGCGTGAGGCCTCACGTGTCTCATCACTGTGGACCCAAATCTGATTGTTCAGTGTCCTCTGGAGGATGGCGGCCACCAGGCCACCAGGAGGAAAGGGCAAGGCATGAAACCTATTCCCACCTGGGTTGGCCCATCACCAGTAAACTACTGCAGGTACCGGACGCATTTCTGCCAAAAGCCGCTGTGTTTTGAGACTTGTTTCTGAGTCTCTGGGATCATGGCCATTAAATGACTTGATCAGGAGCCAGAGAGGCCGTTTGTGGGTGGCGACTCGGGGTCTCATTGGGATGGGGAGGAAAGGGCCAGCTCCACCCCCATCCCGTGAGGCCCATGTGTCTCCTCACTGTGGGCCCAAACCTGACTGGCAATGACCTCTGGAAGATGGTGGCTACTGAGATACCTAGGGAGAGCAGGCGGAGTGATAGCATTCTTTCCCCTCTGGGGAAAGAATCACCGTGAGAGCAGTGACAGTAGTGAGAGCAGTGACAGGTTACTGGCGACAGTAACCTACTGTGGGGTCCAGACTTATTTCTTCCAAAAGCCGCTGGGTTTCGAGATTTGTTTCTGAGTCTCTGGGATCATGGCCATTAAGCAACTTGATTAGGAGCCAGAGAGGCCATTCGTGGGCGGCAACTCGGGTCTCAGTGGGGTGGGGAGGAAAGGGCTGGCTCCACCCCCATACCGTGAGGCTTATGTGTCTCATCACTGTGGGACCAAACCTGACTGTCCAGTGGCCTCTGGAAGATGATGGCCATTGGGCCACCAGGGGGAACACGCCAAGGCACGAAACCTATTCCCACCTGGGGTAACCTGGCGCTGGTAACCTACTGCAGGGACCAGACGCATTTCTGCCAAAAGCCGTTGGGTTTCAAGATTTGTTTCTGAGTCTCTGGGATCATGGCCATTAGGCAGTTCAATCAGGAACCAGATTGGCTATGACTCCAATTATATAGCTGAGCCGGAGGTGGTTTGTGGGTGTGTCTCCCACATACCTAACTTTTGGCCATTTACTTTCTTGGTAAACTGTTCCCCGAGTTTTTGGGGTCTGGCCAAAGGCACAGCAGCAATTTTGGGGTATCTGGAAGTCTGAAGGCGCCATCAAACTGCTGATGCACTTCGCCTCACAGGTACAGATTGACATGTTGGTGGCACCATACCCCCAGGGCTACATCTTCTTGTGCTTAGGAATCATATGGTGGCCAGGATCAGTCCCAGTGCCTCGCACAAGGTAGACATATACTCCACCAACTGAACTCTCTCCTTTGCCTCCTCATGAGATTTTAAGAAGAGGAGCACACGGTCTTGTTTCTATTTTAGTCACAACCTATGCCAGATTCATGGGCAATATATTTGAGCTTGTCAAGGACGGAGACAGGAATGTAAGTTAGGAAGAAAAAGAAGAGCTCTTGAGCTGGATAGATAGTATGGGGATAAGGTGCTTATCTTGCATCCTTCAGACTCTCATTCAAATCCCTAACACAAGATATGGTCCCCTAAGTGCTACCAGCATTCACTCCTGAGCAGAGTATGGAATAGCCCCTGAGTACAGCTGAATATATCCAACTCTTACCCATCCCCTAAAAAATAATTTATCAAAAAATCTTTTGAACCTTTGCAATGTTAATAGCAATAGAGAAGAAGGGTCTGACTTGAAGAAAAATCTAGGATGTAAATCTAGCATAACCTGGTTACATACTTGGTAATGGAAGAGTCGAAACGGATGCTGCATTCATTTTTAGATCTGTCACAACTTACTAGAGCAAATTTATGCACTGGTTCGCATGAAAGGTTTGTTCTCTCACAGTTCTAGAGTCTAGAAATATGAAATCAAGGTGACATCAGGACTATGCTCCCTCTGGTACTCTATCGCCTCTTGTAGCTTCTGATGGTGGCCATTTTTTCTTGGTATTCCATGGCTTGTATCTGCTTCACATCAATCTCTGGTCTGTAGCCACCATGTTCTCCCGAATTGTCTTTCTTCTTATGTGGACACCAGTTGTATTTATTGAATGAAAGGGCCACCCTCATCCAGTATTATATCTTGGAGTTACCCTATTTCCCACTAAGTCCCATTCTAAGTTGCTTGGAGTTGGGACTTCAACTTGTCTTTTGAGGGAACCAGTGCAACCCCTAACACAGGATGAAGTTTAGAGTTTAAGGCTTTTGTCACTGGATAGATAGGAAATAAGAAAGAGCTAACTGGGCCAGAGCGGGAGTACAGCAGTAAGATTCTTTCCTTGCTTGTCGCCAACCTTGGTTTGAATTCCCATGACAATGTAGTGTCCTCTTAGTACCACCTGGAAAGATAACTGAGTACAGAGCTAGGAATAATCCCTGAGCATCACTAGGTATGGCCCCAAAGCCCAAAATAGAATATTATTTAAAACAAGTTAACTTAGGCAGAAGAACCAAAAATCAATGAATGGTTCTATTAAGTCTGAATGCATCTCTCAATCATGGAGGGATTCATTATGAATTTCATCTTTTTATTGTTGAGAACACGAGAAAGAACATGAGAGGGTGGTTAATAAAATGATTTTTTAGTTTGGTTTTGGGCCATACCTGGCAATGCTCAGGGTTTCCTCCTGGCTCTGCATTACTTCTGGTGATGCTTGGGGGAATGGTGGTGCCAGGGATCAAACCCAGATTGGCTGCATGCAAGGCAAATGCCATACCCACTGTACTTTTGCTCTGACACTCATTAATTTTTTAATCAGCAGTCAGGAAGGGAGCATTCTTGGCCAAATTTGCATCATTTCAATAAAAAACCTACACACAAGGGCTGGAATGATAGCGCAGTGGGTAGGGTATTTGCCTTGCATGAGGCCGACTGGGCCAACCCGAGTTTGATTTCTTCGCCCCTCTCAGAGAGCCGCCCCTCTCGGAGAGCCTGGCAAGCTACCATCTCGCCCGCATGGCAAAGCCTGGCAAGCTACCTGTGACATATTCAGTATGCCAAGCACAGTAACAACAAGTCTCACAATGTTACTGGGCCTGCTCGAGCAAATCAATGAACAATGCGAGGACAGTGACAGTGACGCACAAAGCTGTCAGATTTACCTGACGTGCAGTTGTGTGTAATATCATTTCAATGAAAGTGAAAAAAATGGCTAATTGGGATTTACTATGTTATGTGTTTATTCAGATAATCTGTGTTGGGATCAGAAAATATATCCCTTTGAAAGATATTCCTATTCAAGAGAGAGAACAAAAGGGAATGCCCTGCCACAGGGGCGGAGTGAGGGGAGGATGGGGAGGGGATAGTGGGAGGGATACTGGGATCATTGGTGGTGGAGAATGGGCACTAGTGGAGGGATGGGTACTCAATCATTGTATAACTGAAATGCAAGCACAAAAGTTTGTAAGTCTACAACTGTACCTCATGGTGATCTACTAATAAAAAATTTTAAAAAATAAAGATATTCCTATTCACTGTGTTACTACTTGTACAATTAATATCTTCATTTTGTGAATAGACAAAATAGATGTTTATATTGATGTAATCAGTAATTTTGTATTTTTAAGAATGATTGCAACTTCAAATACTTCAAGTATTTTATTTACAAAATATATCGGTGCAAATCTATTCCTTGAGTGTATTCAATGAAATTTATTACTTTCTTTTTGTACTTCATTAGTTTGAAATGTTTCACTTTTTATTTTCTCAGATCTCTCTAATTATTTCTAACCCCTGTTACATTTCAATCTTAATGCAGGAAGTTTTGCTGGAGTTGCTAGAACAGTGTGTGGATGGCTTATGGAAGGCAGAACGTTATGAAGTAATTTCTGAGATTTCCAAGTTGATCATTCCAATTTATGAGAAACGTCGTGAATTTGAGGTACTTGATTTAACTATACATTGACTGATATATTTTATTTCTGTCTTGGATAAACAATAGTATATTTTATTCTTACTATCACTCTATGTGTCCTCTACAGAGCAGAAGATTATTGATAACATTGGGAGTTTGTCATTGAATATGGATATTTAGTGCTTCATTTTGAAACATTTGCCCAATTAGAAGGTCACAGTTCTTCATGCTGTTAAATCTTAAAATTAGAATTCCACCACTTTATATTTATTTAAAATTTCCAAGTGAGGTGTTTTAGTACAACAGGTAGGGAGCTTGCCTTGCATGTGGCTGACCCCAGGTTCAATTTCCAGTATCCCAGTGGTCCTCTGAGAATCACCAGGAGTAATCCCTGAGCATTGCTAGGTGTGGCCAAAAAACAATAAAATTTCCAAATGAAAATAAGAACAAAATGTATATAATATAAATTGAAATTTAGATGGTCACCAGTGATTCTCTTTTTTTTATTTATGTCTCTGTACTTCTGATCAGGGAATGGAACAAGTCTGATGTAAATAAAGCAGAAATGTCTTTATTACACTTTCAGTTAAAATGCTATTGACTGGGGAGGACTGTATTCTCTCCTGAACACGGATCTCTCTCTTCACCACCCCACACTTCTTTAAATTTCTTTGAATAAAACTGTCTTGCTAAACTAAAAAAATGCTGTTGACTTTCATTGTTGTCGCCTCAGAAGAGGCAATTTCTATCCTTTGTTATTGGATTGGAAAATTGGACTTAGTGGCAGATGACAATCGAGAAGAGTAATAAGAAATTGGTGATAGCCTTATCATGAGTTTCTAAAATTTAGTCTGCCAGCTAACACTGTTGATACAGGTTAGCTAATAAAGAATAGTATAAGGAATTTTTTAATACTAAGATCTCCGAATCTGTATCATTATTTCTGTGCCCCTAATTGCTGATTCGGGGCATTTTTCTTAAAAAGCAAATTGATTTTACTCTTTAAAAAGAGCAATTCTTAAATATAATAACATATTTATACAAAAATAGAGTATGTACCCTTGCATTGTTGATGAAGTTGAGTAGTATTTCAGCCTTTGCTCCAAAATGACCAAACTCACTATTTCTTTTTGCTTGTTTATTTTTGGGCCATACCCAACTAAACTCAGAGCTTATGCCGTGCTCTGTACTCAGGGATCACTCCCGGCAGGCTCACGAGACCATCTGGGGCGTTGAGGATTGAACTCAGGTTTGCCATAGAGTTAAGGAAAATTTCTCTCAAACTGGACTCCAGAAAATACTGAAGAGAGAATGTGTGCTCAAGAGGTTCTTCTCTGCTTACTGTTTTTTATTGTAGTGAAATTCACATAACAGCCAGTTAACCATTTTGAAATCTACAATGCTATTTACAGCATCCCTGATACTGTGCACCTGCTGCCTTTCTGTTCCTATGTTTTCATCATCTCAGAAAAACATCCAGGCCCATTAAGTAATGATTTCCCACTTCACTCACCAATCCCTGGTAACCACTAATCTGCTCTCTGATGAAGTAGCCTATTTTGGATATATGATATATATATGTACATATATCGTATGATATATAAACAAAAATGCAAGATGTCATCTTTTCTTTCACTTTTCATAATATTTAATGGTGTGTTCATGTTGTATTAAAGTAGCCACACTTATGTTCATTTTCATAGCTAAATGGTTATGCTGCAGGTTGTTTCATCCATTTATCCATTGACAGACATTCAGGTTGTTTCTACCTTTGGGCTGATATAAATAGTGTTGTTACTGTCTAAGTTTTGGGGATAATGTGTGTTTTCATTTATCTTTGGAATGTTGCTAAGATTTATAGCAATTATGCTTTTAGAATTTTTTCATCATCAATAGGTTTTCCTTCTGACTGTCAATATAGAGCAGTATAGACACATTTCATATCCTGGCCAACAATTGTTCTTTGTTTATTTCTGAGGCAAGGTTTGGAATCCAGGGCTTTACATATGTGAGGCAGACAATATACCACTAATCCATGTTCCTACACCTTCAGTTTTTTTTATTCAAGCCAAGGAATATGAAATTGAATCTCATTGTGCTTGTGTATCCAAAAATAAAATACAAAAGGCTGTGGCAGCTCTCTCTCGCCACCTGCATTCAGTGGTCTCAAACCGCTTCCCCCACCCCATGGAGGCTGATGGTGATGGGCGGACGAAGAAGGGAACGAGGGCCATGCTGGTTGGTCTCAGTTGCAGTTTATTCCATTCTCATCTCCATTCTTTTCCTCGTCCTGATCCTCCTTCCCCAGTCCCCCCATCCTCCTCTTGGATCCTGCTCCTTCATATTTCTTCCTGCTTCTGCCTCCCCCAGCCCACTCTTACAGCCTTAGTATATCCCAAAGCTCAGGGGTTGAGGTAATAATTTCACATAGGTGTGGTCATACAATCAGCAGAGGTAAAGTCCTTCCCTCAGGGGATGCTTCTTCTAGCACAAACTCTCATTCAGCTGGACGACTTACCCAAGAGTGGAATTGCATCTACAGGTGTGTTTCTCCTTTCTTTAGTTCAACAAACATATAAACGTTTATAAAATTAGTCATATTGTATATACACTGTATGAGATACACTAAGCTTATAGGATTGCTCCCCTGGGGGCATCTCACTATAGATCTCAGACTACAGTGCTCGGCCAGATTAGCCTTTCCTAACCCTAGCAGGATCCTAGTCAGTGGTTACTTTTTAGATCATGACAGAATTTGTTCATAATCATGCTCTTAACTTATAGTTAAGTATTGTGGCACTTTGGCCTGGCCCATTTCAATGCCAGGGTAGCTCACAGCTTTCCGTGGGTCCATACATCCAGTCCCTCTTTGGGACTCTGCTATTGGGTTGCTAGGAACTAAGGGCAACTGAGGCTTAAGTCATGAAAGCAGATGCCTAGGAGTGAATATTATTCAGAGTCAATTAACTCCCAGGTTACAAAAGCATGATATTAACTGTCTTCCTGTGTCTATACAAAAAGGACATTGTTTTAAAGTAAACTATGCAAAAGAAAATAAGAGAAAGAGAAAACCAATATTTCACTTATGAATACAAGTCCAGTGTCCTTAGAAGGATCTGACCTTTCAAGTTAACAGAGTCTGATTAGGGGGAATAGGTCATAGACTGGTTGGGGAAGCAGAGCACAAAGAAAGATAAGCAAAGGAATGGGTGTGACTCGGGAGCACTGTGATGGGTGTAACCCAATAAACCTAAGCTCCCTGTTGCAAGGGAGAACGGACAAACCAATGTGTTTTTCTTTCATTTTTGATCTTTTGCTTGCTGGGAATTCTGAGATCATTGAGGAATTCTAGGCACATACTGTGGCACCAGGATTTAAGCTCTTAGCCTCACAATTGCTCTGGGCATTTTATTTCAGGAATCTCAATGTGCAGAATTATAAGGGTGATCTCAGTGCACTCAGAAGGCACTGGGTTTTAAGCTTATGGTCTTATATTTGCCAGGCCAACATTTTAAGTCACTTTCCCATCTTTTGACTCCCCCCTACACACAAACACACAATGTGTTTTTTTCTTATTGTATCACTGTGTGATACAGTTACAAAGCTTTCATGTTTGAGTTTCAGTCATACAATGATCAAACACCCATCCCTCTACCAGTATACATTTTCCACCACCAATGTCCCCAGTATACCGCCCCTCCATCTCTTCCCTCCCCCTAGCTCTATGGCAGATAATTTCCCTCTTACTCTTTCTCTACTTTGGGGCATTATAATTTGTAATACTGAGAGGTCATCATGTTTGGTCCTTTATCTAATTTCAGCATACATAGCCCATCCTGAGCAGTCCCTTCAACCATCATTGACTTAGTGATCTCTTCTCTATCCCAGCTGCCTTTTCCCCCAGCCCATGAAGCAGGCTTCCAACTATCTTCCTGGCCCTTGTCTCTACTGTCCTTGGATGTTAGTCTTAATTTATTTTCCACAAATGAATGCAGTCATTCTGTGTCTGTTCTTCTTTTTCTGAGTCATTTCACTTAGCATAATACTCTCTATGTCCATCCACTTATAAGCAAATTTCATGACTTCATCTTTCCTAACAGCTGCATAGTATTCCATTGTGTTTGATTAATGTTTCCTTAATGAGCAATGATTTGGAACAGATTTGTATCTGTTTGTTGGCCATGTTCTTATCTTCTTTGGAAAAATACCCATTGAAGTCTTTTGCCTATTTGGGGATTTTTTACATGTTTTGTTTTTTTGGGTGACTTTTTCTGGGTGACATCCAGAAGTGCTGAGAGGTTACTTTATCTTCAGGGATCCCTCCCAGTAGTGCTTGGAAGGTAATGCATTTCTAGCCTTGATCACAGGCCTCCCAACACAAAGAATGCTCTTTAATTCCTTGAATAGACTCTGCAGCCCCTTTGGCCATTTTTAAAATTGTCACTGTTGAGGTCTTTAATCCATTTTGATATGACTTTTGTGTCTGGCATTACACAGATGTGAGAGTTCATTTTTTTTGAAGGTAGCTGTCCAGTTTTCCCAGCATCACTTGTTGAGGAAGCTTTCCTTCCTCCACTTCATATTTCTTGTTCCTTTATCAAAGATTAACTGATCATATATTTGAGGGTCTGTGTCAGGATATTGTTACATTGGTCTGAAGATCTGTCTTTATTCTAGCATCATGCTAATTTAATTAGTATTGCTTTGTAGTATAGTTTGATGTTGTGGAATGTAATGCCATCCATCTTATTTTTTCCCAAGAATTGCTTTAGCTAATTGTGGTGGTTTATTTTTCCATATAAATTCAAGAATGTTTGATCTATATCTTAGGAAAAATGTCTCAGGTATCCTTATAAGGACATGTATAGTGCTTTGGGGGAGTATTTTTTGACAATGTTAATCTTCCCAACCCATGTGCATGGTATATGTTTCCATTTCCTCGTGTCCTCTTTTATTTCTTGAAGTAGTATTTTGTGGTTTTCTTTGTTTAGGTCCTTCACGTCTTAAGCTAAGCTGATTCTGAGGTACTTGATTTTCTGAGGCACGATTCTGAATGGGATTCTTTTTCTACTATCTTTCTTCTCTTTCTTTATTTGTATATAGGAAAGCCATGGACTTTTGGTATTGATTTTTGTAAGCTGCTACTTAAATATACAAATCCATTTTTCCAGAAGCTTTTTTGTAGATTCTTTAGGATTTTCTTAGTATAGTGTATAAATGGAATTAATCTTTTTGTTATCTAATCATAAAGTTCTTTTCTTGGATATGAAATATATTATCTAGCCTGTTATTTGTAAATATTTTACACATTGTATGGGTTGTCATTTAACATTATTGATATTTTTCTTGCAGAATATACTCCCTTTTTATTGGTGTGAAGAGATTATATTCTTGAAAACACCTATGAACTTGTATAAAAGCAGTTCTCACTGTGGATACTAATAGTTATTTTTGTATCTGCATTTTCTTCTTGCCACTGAGTGTTTTTGCAGACATTGTTTATTTTCATCTGTACCTAAGAGTGCAAACAAAGCTTTTGTACTTTCACTTCAAAGAATGAAGACTTCTTGAAAATGGCCGATAATACACTATTTGGGAATATACATATATAGGTATATATATGTATATTCAGTACTGATTAATTACTCATTAAGAGATGAATGAAATGAAGCATCATATTTAGAATTATTTAACTATTTTTAGCTCACTTTGCAGACCTAAAATTGTTGAGGACTTTTGTCTAATTATGACAGTGGGAGAGTGGGAGAAGGGAGTGTGAATGAAGCCACTGGAAGCTCTTTAGTTTTTTGTTTGTTTGTGGTGGGGATCCATACCTTGTGGCCCCAAGCTCACTACTGAAGGATTCACTCCCAGTCGTGTTTGAAGGTCCATAAGGTGCCGGGGATCAAATCTGGGGCTCCTACATGACAATCCTGAACTCTGATCCTTTGATATCTCTCTCAGCCTCCATCCCCAAATTATTTTGAATAGGAAATATTGTTGCTTTTTTCCAGGACTTTACCCTTAAACATTGCACAACCAAAATCCAAAACTAATTTGCATGTTCTCACTTTTCAGAAACTGACACAAGTTTACAGAACTCTTCATGGAGCATACACAAAAATTCTGGAGGTTATGCACACAAAGAAAAGGCTGCTGGGTACTTTCTTCAGAGTTGCCTTTTATGGCCAAGTAAGTATGCTATAGTTCATAAAATTGTGCCTTTGAAACACGCACTTTGGATTATGAGGTTACCATAGCAGCAATCACTGGTTGCCAGAGTTGGTTTTGGTAGTGTTTTGATAGCATAGCAGAAAAGCACTCTCTTCCCTAGTAAGGTCACAACAAGTCAAGGAAGGTGGGTAAACGTGCCCTGGTGTCCATACCTAAATCCATTAGTTCACAGTGCAGCACAGATGATTTGAAAATCTTCTTGAGTTTCATTTTCTGTGGAGTTTCTTTGGTGTCTGTTTAATCTCTGACTGTCAAAGCTTTTAAGTGAGGAACTGGTTAAGACCACATGGAATGAGAAAAATCCACCATGGAAATCTTCAGGCCAGCAAGATGTTGGCCTGACCAAATTTCTTATAGGATCAAAATGAAAAGAGAGAATGGCTGAACATGGCTCATAGTACTTTTTTAAAATTTTTATTAGTGAAACAACATGAGGTACAGTTGTAGACTTACAAATTTTTGTGCTTTGATTTCAATTATACAGTGATCAAATACCCATCCCTCCACCAGTGCCCATTTTCCACCACCAATGGTCCCAGTATCCCTCCCACCCCCCATCTACCCCATCCCACACTGCCTCTGTGGCAGGGCATTCCCTTTTGTTCTCTCTTTCCTTTTGGGTATTGTGGTTTGCAAAGGGGGCACTGAGTGGCAATCATGTTTGGTCTATAGTCTACTTTCAGCATGCTTCTCCCATTCTGGGAGGATCCTCCCAGCACCCTTTATTTGGTGCTCCCTTCTCTATCTGAGCTCCCTTTTCCCCTAGCATGTGTGGCTGGCCTCCAAGCCATGAATGTATTTCAACCTCCAACACCAACCAGGATAGCTGAGATATCCCTGTCACTGCAAGGCCCAAGCAGCATCGCATCCTCAGTCCCTTGCATTGAACCAATGGCCTGTTTAGCTAAGAATCACCGATGAAGTGTCTGTGCTTCTTGAGCCCCAAATTGTATTTCAAGTATATGACTGCTTATTATTTAGATTTCAATTTTTTTATTCAATCGCCATGTGATAGATCATTACAAAGCTGTTCATCATTGAATTTTAGTCAAACTTCCAACACTCATCCTTCCACCAGCATACATTTCCCAGCACCAATGTCCTCAGTTTCCCTCCCCACACAACCTGCCTCTATGGCAGGCACTTCCCCCCACTTTTGGGCATTGTGGTTTGCAATACAGAAACTGAAAGGTTATCATGTATTTAAATTTTTAATGATATGTTTCTTTTAATTCTTTAATAATAATATTTATTATTATATTTGCCTTTATAACAGTCCTTTTTTGAAGAAGAAGATGGCAAGGAGTACATCTATAAGGAACCAAAGCTTACTGGCCTCTCAGAGATTTCCCTGAGACTTGTTAAACTTTATGGTGAAAAATTTGGTACAGACAACGTCAAAATAATTCAGGATTCAGACAAGGTAAAATATACTATGCATTTTGATCTCCGAATTTGTTAGTTCCAAACAAGGTACATAACTCTTGATTCCCCCACCGCCTCAACACCCTTTTTAGCCCCTAGAGGAGAATCATGGAAATTGAGCCTCTCCAGAAAAAGAAAGTAGGACAAAGGCTTTGGAATCAGAGTCAGCAGGAATCGTATCACCATTCTCTGCCACTTCTAGCTGTGTGAGCATGGGGGAGTTACTTAGCCTCTCTGTGCCTCATTTCTTCACAATAGTAAAATGCAGATAAGAGCAGTGTCCTCCGCATGGAGTTTTTATATGAATTAATTTAGTTAATATATGGAAAATGACTAGTTGCTCACATATTTAAAGGACTTATTTTGATAGAGGATATTATATAACCTCTATTGTGGGTAAGTTTTGTTGTTGTTTTGGGGTTACACATGGAAGTGCTCATCTCTTAATCCTGGCACTGTGCACAGGGATAACTCCTGGTGGTGCTCAGGGGACCATATGGGGTACTGGGGATCAAACCTGGGTCACCTGCTTGCAAGGCCAAGTGCCTTACCCAGTACTATCTCTCCAGTTCCATTTTTTGGTTTGTTTTTAGCTGTTTTTTTTTCTGGGCGCATTTAGCTAGGCACAGTGGGTTACTGCTGAATCAGTGCCCAGGGATTACTCTTGATGGTGCTCAAGGGATAATGCAGTATTGGGTTCAAACATGGGTCTACCACATATAAAGCCTGTGCTCAGCCCTTTGAGACATTTCTCTGGCTCCTGGTTGTTGTTGAGAATGCTGTTGTGCACCAGGATTCTCCTTTCTAATATGTGGTTAAGACCACATGGAGGACACTGATTTGTTATGTGGGGCTCTTAGCTTGTTCCCTGCATTGCTGCAGGATGGGTCTAGAGCACTGCCTTGGGCCTTGCTTGAAAGGTGCTATGTCCCTCCAGGACCTGCAGCGACAGAGTAATAAAGTTCCCAGCAAGAGATGCCCTTTCCCAGTCAGTACCTGGTTCTCTATACAGATTTTCAGGAAATTGCCAGAGGAATGGAATGCCTGGCAGACAGCCTTAGTCCCCATGGTAAAGCCAGGATGAAAATGGATTGTTTTTTTTCCAGAATGTTAATTTTATTTTATTATTATTTTTTAATCACCATGAGATACAATTACAAAGCTTTCCTATTTGGGTTTCAGTCATACAATGATCCATTACCCAACCCTCCACCAGTTCAAATCTTCTACCACTAAAGTCCCACCCCTCCCCCTGCCTCTGTGGCTAACAATCTCCCCCATACTATCTTTTGTATTACTTGTTATGAACAGTATAAGATGTCACGTGGCTGTGAGAGCGGCCGTGTGCTCCTGGAATTCTAAAATTTTAGATAATTAGAATCTGGAGAAATCTCTGCGTGAGCTGTTCCATTCAGAGATTCTTTTGTGTGTCTCTGGACCACAACCAATTAAGGAGCTTAAGTAGCAACAGGAAGCAGTTTGTGAGTGTGACCTGACCTCCAGGGTCCCATGGGGAGGAGGGTTAGAGGAGTGGGGGATATGAGAAGGATGATACCTGCTCCCCTGTCTGAGGCACCCGGTGAAGTCAGCCTGGCTGAAAGTCTGGAGGCATCTCTACTGTCTTTGAGCTTTTTAAGATTTATGTCCTTGAATAATAAATGAACACAAAGGTTCAGAAGAGTTAATTCTTTTTCTAAATTTCTTACCATCTTAATTATTTTATTTATTTTTTTTGAGCGCTTGGCCAAGTGGCCTCACTTTATTTTTTTTAATTATTTAAAAAAAATTTTTATTAGTGAGACACCATGAGGTACAGTTGTAGACTTACAAATTTTTGTGCTTGGGTTTCAATTATAGAATGATCAAATACCTATCCCTCCACCAGTGCCCATTTCCCACCAACAGGGATCTCAGTATTCCTCCCACCCCCCCCTCTCCTCCATCCCACCCTGCCTCTGTGGCAAGGCATTCACTTTTGTTCTCTCTCCCCTTTTGGGTGTTGTGGTTTGCAAAAGAGGCAATGGGTGGCAATCATGTTTGGTCTATAGTCTATTTTCAGCATGCTTCTCCCAAATGATTCAGAAAGAAAGGGATAGACATAGAAAGATTGCATTCATCTGAGGAACATAAAGTAACAAAATAGGAAACTAACACCCAAGAATGGCCGAGATTAGTACCAGGAATTTTACTCCATGGCTTGGAGGCCAGCCACACATGCTAGGGGAAAAGGGAGCTCAGATAGAGAAGGGAGCACCAAATAAAGGGTGTTGGGAGGATTGGTTTTTTTTTAATGAAGGTTACATCTGCAGTGCTTAAAAAACACCGGAGTACACCTAGTGATGTACACCCAGTGATGTATACCCAGGACATTGCTGGGGATCAAATTCAGAGTTATGCACTGCTAGACACATGCTCTTCCAGCTATTCCTGGTAGTGATTGGGGACCATGTGGTGCCAGGGATTAAAACATACCCTCCCATAGTCAAGCCATGTACTCCAGCCTTCAGAGTTTATTTCTTTTTTTCCCTTTTTTTAAAATATGTTACTGAATCACCTTGAGATAGTTACAAGCTTTCATGTTTGATTTACAATCACACAATGATCAAACACCCACCCCTAATTTTCCCCATACTCTCTCTCTACTTTTGGCACACATCTCCCATCTCGACCGATTCCTCCAGCCATCATTTTCTTACTGATCCCTTCTCTATTCCAGCTGCCTTCTCCCCTTTGCTCATGAGGCAGACTTCCAACCAGGGAGCAATCTACCTGTCCCATATATCCACTATCCTTAGGTGTCAGCCTCATGTTATTTACTCCACAAATGAGTGCAGTCCTTCTATGTCTATCCCTCTCTTTCTGACTCATTTCACTTAGCATGATCCTTTCCATGTCTATCCATTTATAAGCAAAGTTCATGACTTCATCTCTCCTGACAACTGCATGGTATTCCATTGTGTAGATGAACCAAAGTTTCTTTAGCCAGTCGTCTGTTCTAGGGTACTTGGGTTGTTTCCAGATTTTGGCTTATTTCTTTTTTCCCATAGTTTTATTTATTTTTTGTCTTATATTTATTTATTGAATCACTGTGGGAAAAGTTACTAAGCTTTCAGGTTTAAGTCTCGGTCATACAATAATAAAACACCTCTCCCTTCACCAGTACTCATTTTTCACCACCAAGAACCCCAATATACGCCCCTCCCACCCCTCCCAATGCCTGTGAGGCAGATGATTTCCACTTAACTCTTCTCTACATTGATTACCTTCATTATTTTGACAAAAGATGCACCATTATTGTTTAGAATTTCCCCCCCAACAATCAGAATTGCTGAAAAGGCATTGTGAAATACTTTGTTTTCTATAGCTGCTTATGAGAATTATATAATGTTGTGTGGCCGCTATTGCGGCCATGCAATTTTGGATTTCAGATAATTACGAGATTGGTTTCTGTGCATCTGGTGTTATGGCTGTTCCGGAGAGCCACTCGTGGGGGGCAACATGTGACCTCAGTAGGGCATTAAGGACAAGCTAGTACCGCCCCCCCCCCTTCCCATGAGACTGCAGTTGCCCCGTCACCGCTGGCTCATACCTGGCTTTTGTATAAGCTCTGAGGCAACGGCCACCTTGTTGCCGGGGGGGGGGGGGGGGAGAAAAGGCGGAAGGGAGCAACACCTTTTCCCTCCTGAGGAGGCATGGTGCCATAGTTTAACACATGGTCCATTCACTTTTCTGCCGCAAGCTGCTGGGCTCTGGATTAAGTCCTTTTGCCTCTGGAGCCATGGCCGTGCCAGAGAGCCACTCGTGGGGGGCAGCTCTTGACCTCAGTAGGGGTGAAGGACGTGGCTTATTTCTAAGGTAGGCAGGACGGACTTAGTTTAGGATCTATCGGCCATGGCAATATTTCAGGAGTGACTGGTTGTGATGTGTATGGCAGTATACAAAGCATCCAGCAGCTAGTAGAGGACACGTGGGGGTGCAAAGCCCTTTGCAATGGAAGAGTCTTCAGGACTTGTCATGAAAGTCTTTCCTTTTTCACTTTGTAGGCTTCCCTGTATCTCTGGGAGATGGTTTTTATTTTGAACATGCATCTTAGACATTATAGTATAGATGGGCTGGTGGATTCAAAATGCAATCATACTTGGCAAAACCACTATCCTCCTTCCTTGTCAGTTTTACTGCCTGTTATTTTGTGAAATTGGAAAAACAGAAGATGCTTTCATCTCTTCCAATTCATCTGTCCATAGATGTTTGGGTTGTTTTCATGCCCTTGCTGTTGTACTCAGCACTGCAGAGAACATAGGTTTGAGGAGATCTTTTGAAATGAATGTTTTCGTGTTTGGGGGATCTTGCCAAGAAGTGGTGGGGTGAGAGTGTGGGAGGGGATTTTGGATTGGGGCTGCTGACACTGGTGGTAAGATGGGAGTTGAAACATTGAATACATGAAACTCACTTATTCACAATATTGTAAATCATAGTGCCTCAGTAAAAATCAAGAAAAAAGAAAACACACGATGTTGTTTGCTGACAATTACATAGATGGTCTTAGCTTTGCTGCCTCACTCACCATTGACGTAAGTGGGAAGTTAAGGGAGCACCGGCTTTGCCAAACAATGGGCAGTTCCCTGATTTCTTCTAACTCGTCGAGTTTGACAGTTTCTATGCAAAGTTATTCTAGCCATTACCCATAGACAACAGACATCATAGGCATTTTTATACTTTTTAATCACTTATTTCTTTCTTAATGTGTGAAAATGAAAATTAAAAACACTCTATACTTTGCCAGGGAACAAAATGTGCTTTCGGGCACAGTTTGAAGAGAGGAGCTTGGCAATAATTTTCAATATTAATCTTTTGTGCTTGGGACAAGGATTTCAGATGGAAGATTTTTATCTTGTAGCTATGCACACACAGAAATGTATGTTTAAAGGTACTTTGGTGGGGAGCCAGGGAGGTGCCTCATGTAGTAGAGCATGTTTTGTGTGTGAAGCCCTGAGCTGGCTCCCCTGTACCACATGACTTATCTGAACACCACTGGGTGTGGTCATGGTGGCTCCGAACACTGTCTGTCCCACATTGTCAGGTCAGGCTGGGTCCCTTGGGGTGAAGAGAGGTCTAGCCAGCAACCCTCCGAGGTATAGTTTAACTTCTTTTATTTTTTTGCTTTTTGGGTCACACCTGGCAATTCACAGGGATTACTTCTGGATTTGCACTCAGGAATTACTCCTGGCGGTACTCAGGGGTCCATATGGGATGCTGGGAATTGAACCCAGGTTGGCCACATGTAAGGCAAATGCCCTACCCACTGTACTATCGCTCCAGCCCCTAGTTTAGCTTCTTAGCATAAAATTTAGACTCTTCAGGACTATTCCCATGACTGTTATGATTTTATATCTCTGGAATAGAAGAATTGTGCTTTCCCATGGTCCATTTTTCCGTACAATATTAATGAAGTCAGTAGTACCCACTATGGGTTGGAGATAATAGCTCAGAGTTGAGCAAGTGTTTTGCATTCAAGACTTCAGGTTCAATCCCCTGCACTGATATTTCCTCCAAACACTGCCACAAATGACCCCTGAGCACAGTGCTGAGAGTAGTCCTTAAACACTGTCAGGTATGTTGACCCCAAAATATGGGAAAAAAGAGAACCCACCATTACAGTGTCAAATACTGCATGTGGAAATGCAAGTAGGTTAAGACGTAGGGTAGTTGGGTAAAATGCACCAAAACCCTTTAAAATCATCTAAATATTTTTAGTGAGCTCTCTTCTAGGACTCTATTACAAGGAATACATTGGAATAACTTCATATGTTTTACTGAGTTATTTTTTAGTTATTAAATTGAATCACCATGAGATAGTAACAAAGTTATTCATGATTGGTTTTCAGTCAAAAATGCTCCAACACCCATCCCTCCACCAGTGTACATTTTGAATCACCAATGCCCCCATTTTCTTTCCCCCCACCCCGTCACCTGCCTCTGTGGCGGGCACTTTCCTTTTTTCTCTCTGTTTCCTTTTGGGCATTATGGTGGTTTGCAATACAGGTACTGAAAGGTTATCACATATATCTCTTTACCTTCTTTCAGCACTCAGTTCTTGTCCAGAGTGATAATTTCCAACTATTATTGTCATAGTTTTCCCTTCTATATCCTCACTGCTTCACCCCTCCCCACGTCCACACTTGTGACAAGCTTCCAACTGTGGAAAAATTCTTCTGGACCTTGTTTTTACTGTCTTTGTGTATTAGTTTCCTACTATATTTTTCACAGCAGTAGGGCGTTTGCCTTGCACGCAGCCAACATGGCTGACCTGAGTTCGATTCCTCCGCCCCTCTCGGAGAGCCTGGCAAGCTACTGAGAGTATCTCGCCCGCACGGCAGAGCCTGGCAAGCTCCCCGTGACATATTTGATATGCCAAACACAGTAACAACAAAGTCTCCAATGGAGACGTTACTGGGCCCGCTCGAGCAAATCGACGAACAACGGGAGGGCCTTTACCTTTTACCTTTTATATTTTTCTATATCCCCCAAATGAGTGCAGTCATTCTGTGTGGATGACTTTATATGTGTTTAAGTATAAGCATGGTCCTCTGAGCTTTATTTGCAGTTGCTAAATTATTGGGCACCAGTCTGAAAGTCTGTTAATGAGGGATTAGACAAAGACTCCATACCGTGTTTCATAAATTGAAAGCCAAGTTAATGACGGTAATGTAGAGCTGTAGTTTTTAATTGTGGTATAAAACACATAAAATTTATTGATTAACTACTTTTAGGTGCGTGTTTCAGTGATGTTGGATTCATGTTATACACCTCTCCCCAAGTCCATATTCAGACCTCTTTTCCTTTCTTTCCTGTCTTTTTATTTGTTGGTTTTGTTGTTACAATGACTAGTGTCACACATGCTTGGTTGTGCTCGCTTGCTTGCTCTCTAGGGATCTCACTCATTAGGTTGCTGTGTTTGCCCAGAGTCGCATTCCTACCTACAGTTTTCACCCATCTTTTTAGTTTTGAGGGTCACACACCTTTAGTTAGCAATGCTTACACATAAACCTGAATGTGTGCCAAAGATTGCACACTCTTTGGGGTGCTAGCGGTCTCAGAAAGCCAAGGATCCCATTCAGCGTATGTGGGCTGCACCGGGGATGGCAATCATGGCTTCATGCTTGCAAGTCAGGCACTCTCACTAATGATCCACCCTTATAAATTATAAACTATGACTCCTCAATTTAAAAAATTCAAAGATAAAAGAAACTGGCTGTTTTAACATAATTATGTAGTCATTCTAGAAATCAGTTTCTCCCCATTTCCTAGGAATTTTGGGGGCTTAGGGTTGGTTTTTATCTGTTCTTGGGATTTTGTGGTTCTGTTTTTTGGCATTGTCATATATTGTTTCTGTGTCAAGGACAAGCTGAAGGTATAAACTTAAGGTTTTCTCTGGTCTCTTCTAAGACTGAAGAGGTCTAAGACTGGGAATACATGGTGTTTTCCTAAGTCCTTTCATGTATACACTTACTCTTGAAAATTCTAGTATTTTCTCTTCGGCTTCTAAAAAGAGAAAGAGAAATGGATATGTAGAAAGATACCAATCCTTTAAATACAGTGGAAGTCACTTCAGCTAGAGGGTAAGGTATCTGCAGTCATGGGTGTGTTGGGATGATGCTCATATGCCACAATAAGGACCACAGCCTCCTTGTCTGCACATTTCTGATTAGAAATAGTTGTCCCTAATTTTTTAATTTGATGAGCCAATCTAGATACATACCTTGACCTAGCCTGACATCCTCTGATTCAAACTATTTTAGTGATCAGGAATATTTTCAGTCATTATAGGCTAAGGCTCCAATCTAAGGTCCTAAAAGGAAACCACAAGATTCTGGACTCATTGGTCCTCTATTTTACAAAATATTCATCTTGCAGTAGTTCCTCTCACTTCAATTTCCCGTGTGTCTTAATTAACTCTATTAAAGAGACGTATGTGTGTTTTGTCTCTATGCAGTTATTTCACGGTAATGGTGGAAAATGCTCCCTCTTTATGGAAAAACATTTTTTATGGAAAAATATTTTAACCAATGTATTCTTTGCCTCTGTATCTTTTCTCTGTGTTTTGTCTGCATACGCATTATTCCTAGATCTCCTCCCACTTGTATTCTGGCAGTCAGTTACATATCCATAGGATTCTGGGGACAGTATTCCTCTTCATTGACTCTTTGTCTCCCTTTCTCCATATTCTTTGTGGGACAGAAGAATTATTACTGTTTTTTATATTTGAGACACACCCTGTGATGTTCAGGAGATACTCCTGGCTCTACACTCAGGGATCACTTTTAGCGGTACTTAAGGGACCAGATGGGATGCCATGGATCAAACCTAGGTTGGCTGCATGCAAGGCAAGCCCCCTACCCACTGTACTATCACTACACTCCCAAGAATTAACCTTTCTGCTCCATGTCTTATTAAGGGCTAATTTCATAAAAGATCACTGGATCCTGAGGCATGCAGGAAGCTCAGATTTGAACCCTACAACCACATGGTCTCCTTACCCCAATGTTAATATATATATATATATATATATATATATATATATATACATATATATATGATCAGGGGTTACTCCTGGCTCTCACTCAGGAATCATTCCTGGTGGTGCTCAGGGGACCATATGGGATGCCAGGGATCAAACCTGGGTTGGCCACGTGCAAGGCAAACACCCTACCTGTTGTACTCCGGCCCCTATTTTTAATAAATCAGATTATAAAACAGTGTTGACTGTGACCTCCATTGAGTCACTGTGTGTGCAAAGAACATATATAAAATTGTGAATAATGATCATTGCTGAGTCTGTCCTACTGCTTTTATGTTTATCCTATCAAAGATCTCTAAATAGGTCTCTAAATAGCTTATTTATAATAAGAAAGAAATTATCCTTAAAAAAAGTTGGGTATAGATCTTTTTCAGGTGAATATTCAATTGGAACACTACCAAAATGGTCGTCTTCCATAGCTGATCTCAAAGGAGTTCATAACATACCTGTATCCTCTTTGCCTTTTGATTAAATCATTCACAAGACTTTCATCTTTCACAGGTAAATGCCAAAGAGCTTGACCCCAAATATGCTCATATCCAAGTGACATATGTGAAGCCATACTTTGATGATAAAGAGCTTACAGAAAGAAAAACCGAGTTTGAAAGAAACCATAACATCAACAGATTTGTGTTTGAGGCTCCTTATACATTATCAGGCAAAAAGCAAGGCTGTATAGAAGAGCAGTGCAAACGTCGTACAATCTTGACTAGTAAGTAGTGCTCTGAATAAGTTATTGTTTGAGATACACACAGCTAACAGCTGGCCAGCAGTAGAGTGTAACTGAAATTGCAGTCATTTATTCGTTCTGTTGTTTAGTCATTGGATTGCACAAATATGGTTCTGTTATCAACCACAATTCTCCCATGTGTAACTCATGATTGCTCAGAGGTGTCCCAGCAATAATTTTTCCCTCAATCCTGAAGCAAGAAGGTGCCATATGGTACCTAGAGACAGCCTGCAGCGAATTAAATACAAAGGATTTAAAGGACTCAATCTTTAAAGGACTCAACAAATAGTTTTTAAAGACAGTAAATCAATCTTAATATTTCCCTAGCTTCAAATTCCTTTCCGTATGTGAAGAAGAGGATCCCTATAAACTATGAACAACAGATTAATTTGAAGCCAATTGATGTTGCTACTGATGAAATCAAAGACCGAACAGCAGAACTGCAAAAGCTTTGCTCTTCTGCTGACGTGGACATGATTCAGCTCCAACTGAAATTGCAGGGCTGTGTTTCAGTACAGGTACGATGGCTGCCAAACATGTATTAAATTATTGTTGATATTCCTCTTGCTTTCACATGGGGTACAAAGCAGGACCCATTGTCGTGTGCTCTATGCTTACTGCATGCAAAACCTCTGCTTTATTTTTTATTAAATAAAGAAATTATGTTCCATTTCTGTAAAGTTTGTGTTTTGTTGAAGGACCTCAGCAAAAATCTTGCTATCTGTAGCCAAGCCCTCTATTTACATATCAGAAATCATTAACGAATTTACTAGAATATCAGCTTGATTATTTGCCTTTAGTTAATCATTTTCATATTAAGCTTTGCGTAAGATTCATAAATATGTTCCTCAGATAAGAATTTTTATTTGTAGTTTTTAGAAAAAGAGAGAAATGTAAGCATTGCTTTTTGATTACATTCTGATAGCTCCATTTTCCTTCTCTTCATTTAAGGTCAATGCTGGACCATTGGCATATGCGAGGGCTTTTTTAAATGACAGTCAAGCCAGCAAGTATCCACCTAAAAAAGTAAATGAGTTGAAAGACATGTTCAGGTAAGTGTTTTGTGGTTTTCAGAGTAGAGCACCACTGTCATCTTCCATTTTTACCTTAAAAGAAATAAAAATATCCACCAAATAGTATGCCTCAAAAAAGTATCTTCTCTGTTCTCTTTTATAACATTTAAATTATTATTTACATAATGACCATGTGTTCCCCTTCCTGATAGATATTAACAATATCCTAGTGACCCATGAAATAAAATATAACAACTTTCTTTGGATATTATGATACAAACACAAGCCTACATTCATCATGTCATTTCCTCCTGTGTCCGATTGACCCTTTGTTTATAGCATTTCAGACCAATTAGGGAAGGAATAAAAGTGGAGCTGGAAGGGTTAGCTAGAATTGCTCCTATTCTGTGTCCTTCCACTCATATTATGCTTGTCTAGAACATACCAAACCTTGTGTAAACTGGGCATCCCTGCTTAAGGCATGTTTGAATGGTTTTATGTTAAAAAGAATCTATTTAATAGATACAAAGAGTTTCCAATAAGGGGCTGGAGAGATAGTACAGTAGGTAAGGTACTTGCCTTGCACACAGCCAACTGAGTTCAATCCCCAGAATCCCTCCACATCCATCAGAAGTGATCCCTGACCACGGAGTGAAGAGTAAGCCCTTTGCACAATTGGGTGTGGCCCTAAAACAAAGAAATAAGAATTTTCATTTAAAACCAGGGAGATAGCTATGTAAAATCAACTCAGGAGAAAGATGGTAACTTAATATACTGCAGTTTCCAGTTTATTTTCTTTCTTTTTGCTGTTTGCTTGCTATCAGCTGTTCCAGATTACAGACCAGCCAGGAGTCATTCCTTTGACAGCATGTATTAATTCTGAAATGCACAAAGAACCTGTTGCTATAACAAGTTTATAGTACAAATGTGCAGTGAGGTACTTTGTCTCCTGAGACTCTAATTATAGACTTTAAATCTAAACCCATGAAAGAGTGGAACAATGCTGTTATCAACTCAAATAGCTCATCAGCTCTTCCCCCATTATTACCAGCCCTGGACATATTTTTCACATATACAGGACCCAGTGCTATTCTAAATACATAATAGGACTCTAATCAATTACTTTTAATAAATGACTTACTATTTACAGATGTAAGTTAATATTAGAACAACTTTAGTCACTAATCTCAAGTAACTGTGAAAATGGGTTTTTGAAATGGTATATGTTTTGGGACTTGGATGGCCTTATTGATTTTTCTTTTTGATTTTGTGGACATATCTAGTTGGTGCTCAGAGGGTACTCCAAGCTTGGTGCTCAGGGGACCATGTAACACCAGGGATTGAACCAGGCCTCCCGCATGCAGAGCATGCATTCAGCCCAATGAGCTCTCTCCCTTTAGCACCGCCCCTCCAATATGGTGTGTTTTTGAAACAAAATTAACAAGGGCCTGTTAATTTTAAGGAAGAGACTGGAGGGGAAAGAAAGGCATACATATTTCAGATTTCAAAGGTGGGATAGGGAAAGGCTCACTAAGAAAATAGAGGACTTTAACCTTTCTTCTTCTTGGCATGCCAGACTTTATGTAAATATCAAATCAATAGCAAAACCTCTGGGAACTAATAACAAACCTTTGCTCTTCGTCCACAGGAAGTTCATACAAGCTTGTAGTATTGCCCTGGAACTAAATGAGCGGTTAATCAAAGAGGATCAAATTGAGTATCATGAAGGACTGAAGTCAAATTTCAGAGATATGGTGAAAGAATTGTCTGACATTATCCATGAGCAGGTAAGTATTAGCAGAGGTTGAAAAGGAAAACATGATCTGAGGTTCTTATATTAATAAAATGTATACATTGGAAATATATTACTTTAAAATTACTGTTGGTATTTGAAAGTTTGCTTATATTATCTTTAGTCTTTTAAATGACTTAATGCAAATTGAATTTGATGAAGTTATCCAAAGCAGTTGCCAAAGCAATTATTGATACTAAGCCATTTTGTTATTTTGGCCATAGTGCTGTTATAAGTGATTAGAAAGTATCAATGATCTGTTGTAAACATGGATAGAGTCTCTCCAAAAGGCTTTTGAAGAAATCAGTAGTTGGCCATAGTAGTAATCAGACCCCTAAATTAATCTCCCTAACTTGACTATAAGAAACTGGATACTGTCATTCAGGTGATATACTGAGGGTTTTCCAAAGTTTAGGAAGTATCTTAATACCCAGACAACCCACAACACTATTCTCACAAAACTGCTTAGTGTTTTTATCTGCCATCTAATGTTCCTGACAATTACATCTGATTTAGTATAACATACCCAGAGAAACAAAATTAACAAGAGCCTGTACACCACTTACATATCAAATTATGGAATAATGAATAGTTTGGACCTTTATATACCTACTTACCTTTAGAAAAATGAGATTGCTGCTGGACTATCCTAGTAAACTCCATTCCTCTGTTGGGAGTTCTGAAATGTGGATTTATAACTACATGACTTGTCAGGCTTGTCACTTAGGTATTTTAACATCTTCATCCCTTTGTGAAAGGAGAGGAGGAGGTTCTTGAACATAGACCCCATTGTGTCTGATCTGTGGAACAGTAAAAGAATTTACCAAGATAGAGACATTGTAAGCAAGAGAAGAGCAAGTTTATTAAAGGGAAATAGTATACTGTTCAAAATGAACAGTGAAGGACTCCAAAGAAAGAGCATTTTTAAAAGTTGGTTCTTAGGCCACACTTGGCTGTGCTCAGGGCTTTCTTCTGGCTCTGCACTCAGGATCAGTTCTAGCAGGACTCAAGAAACCATATATATAGAGTCCCAGGGATCAAACCTGGGTCCTAGGTATGTAAGGCAGGCACCCTGCCCGCTGTACTATCTCCTGCCCCCTATCTAGCATTAATAAGGGATGCTTTAATCAGAAATCTTCTGCTTTCTAGGAGGGGGAGAGCAAAGAGATGTAGTCAATTCTAGGGAGAAAGTAAATTATATATTAAGTATTCTTAACCAATCACAAAAGATAAGAAATATATAAAATAATTTAACTAAATCATATTTTAAAGTCAATCATGTAGGGATAGTAAAAGGTACATAAAATAACTTAAGCTTAAGTCTGGCAAACTCCCCGTGGCGCACCAAATATGCCAAATACCAGTAACAATGATGGATCTCATTCTCCTAAAAAGCCTTGAATATAATCTCAGGGCTAGGATGAAAGAGACGTTACTGGGGCCTGCTCGAGGCAATCGACGATTAACAGGATGATGAATGAATGAATGAATGAAAGCTTAAGTCTCAGCCTGTCAGGCTTTTTTTTTTTTGCTTTTTGGTCACACCTGGTGATGCACAGGGGTTATTCCTGGCTCTGCACTCAGGAATTACCCTTGGCGGTGCTCAGGGGACCATATGGGATGCGGGGAATCGAACCCAGGTTGGCCGTGTACAAGGCAAACACCCTACCCGCTGTGCTATTGCTCCAGCCCCCTGTCAGGCTTTTGAAATGGGAATTTAGACTAGGAATCTTTTTAGGGGGCTTCTACTAGACCCCTTCACATTGGGAAAAGTATCCTTCATTTTCTTACCCCAGGAGAAATTATTTGCTCAGGAACTCTTCAAATTCTCAGTCGATAAGAAATTAAAATTCTTGAGAAACACAGAAAACCTGCATGCCTTTAAAGAACACATTCTTCACACAGGTTCTAGAAAGAGGAACCTCATTTTTCATAATCTCAGCATTTCTGGGAATGCTCAAAGGAACTTGCTGGCCAGACTGGCATACAAAGAGTGTACTTACAAATAAGCCAAGTACAATCAGGATAGAAAAGGGGCCAGTATAACAATAATAGTTAGAAATGATCACTCTGGTCAAGACCTGAGTGCTGAAAGGAGGTAAAGGAATATGCATGTTAACCTTTCAGTACCCGTATTGCAAACCATAATGCCTCAAAGGGAGGGGAGAGAGAGAGAGAGAGAGATAAGAAAAGTGCCTGTCATAGAGTCAGGCTGAGTGGGGGCAGTGGCAGGGGAGGAAACTGGGGACACTGGTGGTAGTAAATGTACACTGGTAAAGGGATAGTTGTTGGAACATTGTATGACTGAAACCTAATCATGAACAACTAGTAATTGTGTATCTCCTGGTGGTTCAATTTAAAAAAATAGGCCAACCATAATTACACATAATGGTGGAAAGAAGAAAATAATTTAAGAAAAACACAAACACATTGATATTAAATCAAGTCCTGCCTCCCTCTAGATTGATTTTATATGCTAAAAATAACTATGAATAAAAAAACATAGTTACATTTAGCCCACTTTTGCATTGAGTGAACAGCAGTCTAATTTTCCAACTTTTGTCATCTTCTCAATATGAAGACTTCCTGGTTAGCCAGAATTCAGTCATCTGTTCACTCTCTTTACATATACCATCTCCAATTCAAGCTTGTTGGGTTGAGGAGCCTAGAATCAGGCTTTTCTCTTTTTAGCCATCTTTTCTCAAGTTAGCCCTCTCAGAAGTGAGTGCCAACAACTCTGAAACATTGCTTCTTCACGTCTCTACTTCCAGGAGCCCTTTTTTGGGTCTCCTTCCCTGAACAGCAGGATTATTGGGAGTCAGGAGGTAGAGAACCATCCCATATCTGTTTATGTCTGTATTTCATGTTCAGCCCATGAGGAGAGAACGATCATGATCACAATAACGACCATCCTGTTGTTCGTCAATTGCCTCGAGCAGGCTCCAGTAACGTCTCCTTAATCCTAGCCCTGAGATTTTTTAAAAAGTGCCATATTCAAGGCTCTTTCAGGGTTAGGAGAATGAGACCCATCATTGTTCCTGGTATTTAGCATATTGAGTATGCCACGGGGAGTTTGCCAGACTCTGCCGTGTGGGCAGGTTACATTTGGTAGCCTGCCAGTTTGTCCAAAGTAAGAATGAGAGCTGGGTTTTATAGTCTCTGAGTCTTGGCCATTGATGGGATTATATGGCACCAGGGGGCCAGTTGGTGGGTGTTACCCCTGCCGACTGGAATATGGAGGATCTGGGTGGAGGATGCTCAGCCCCGATCCGAGCAGGCTCGGAGAGCTCAGCCCCGGGACCCACATGCCTTTGTTCCTCTGCCGGTACCTTCATGCGTGTGGAGAGTGGTTTCAGCATGGTGGTGGCTGGTTCTGGAGGTCTTCGGCTGCCAGAGCCCTGGCCGGGGCGGGCAGGGAAACTCAACCTGCTCCCCTCCAAGGGCCCCCAGCGAGGAGCAGGGCACCTTCTTTTTCCCCCACTCGGCTGAGGTCAACTTGTTTCCCAAATAGTCTGCACAGTTTGTTACTAGACTGCCTGGTTTATGGATTTCTCTTCTTAGTGAACTGTTAAAAAGAAAACAAACCCAGGGGGAAGAAAAATTCTTCCTTCATAAGAGATATAAAACAATTATACACATTGTTTTAAGCCAATGTTTACAATATTACAGTTATTTAATTTGCATGACCTAGCCTTGAACTCTTAAATTATTCAAATAGAAAGCAAATTATTCAGTGTACTGCTATTACTATGATCAGGATGTTTAGAGAAGTCATTTTATATAAGACTCTTGTTCTCCCTGAAGCATGGATTTTATGTCGGCTATCCTACTTCCCATAGGTCTCTCTGTTAAACTCCCCTGAACAGTAGCTATTGTGTTTACTTGTAGAGACCCATGGTTTAGACCCTTATATTTACATATTCATAACTAACCATGATATTTCAAGTTCCCATTGGCTTATATTTATGTAACCTGCCCTGTTTCAATGTTTTACATCTCAGTGCACCTTACTTGAGGCAACTGTTGACTTCATAGCAATGTTTTATTAACTGGTATTTCCTATTAGACTCTCAGAACCACTTATTTTTTTAGTAATAACACTTTGAGACCCTTCATTTTCCCAAGGAGAATAGAAAAATACAAAAGATAACAAAGTGGGCTGGAAACATAGAACAGTAAGTTAGGCATTACACACAGCTCAGGTTCTATTTCCAGAATCCCATATGGTTGCCCAAGCCTGCCAGGAGTGAGCCCTGAGCACAGAGCAAGGAGATGCTCTGAGCACTTCCAGGTGTGCCCTAGCTAGCCCCCCCACAAAAAAGAAACCAAAAAAAGGATAGCATGTAACTGCATGCTAAAGTAGGAATTATTATGTGGGATATCTTAAATTATTACTTGACAAAAACGCTGTGGTCTTGATATCTGTCAGTCCTTTGCAGTGTTCTCTGTTACAGTATGTCAAAATATGCATTACCTCTGTAAAAGTTAGGTTTTTGACTTCTGAGTTTATTTTACTATATTTGTATTTGGAGAAGGCAATACTCCCAGTGGTACTTGGGGATACCAGGGTTATGTGCAAATGTGCAAGGGTGCAGGATGTGGTATCGCAGATGGAACTTAGGGTCTTACATATGCTTGGCATGTGCTCTATTACTAAGGCCCTGTTCTGATACCAAGCATTTGACTTTTGAGAAGGATTTTTTACTATATTCAATCTACTTATTGCCGATGTTTTTGTTAGAGCGAGTTGATGATGGCCATTGGGACCGTCTGTCTTATTCACAATGGTAACCTGGTCATATGTCCTTTTTTATTCTTTTTATTTTTTCTTGTGAATCATCAAGTGGTTCACAAGGGTTATTCCTGCCTCTCTGCTCAGATCAACTCCTGGCTGTGCTCAAGGGAACTATAGTGGTGCCAGAGATTCAAACTGGGGGTAACTACATGCAAGGCAAGCACCACAGAGGTATCTGTGTACTATCTCTTCAGCCCACAACGAGTCGTCTCTTAAATGTCAACTATGTTGTCATATTAGCAACATGATTGTGATTTATGTAAGAGAAAATCTGTTCTTTGGAATTTATGTAGGATTTTCTTATAGCAACATCAATGATACAACCATTGTTGTATCACACTAGACCAGTTTTCAGATTTACTATATAAGTTGAACGCTTGAGGACTGGGCTGGAGCAATAGCACAGCGGGTAGGGTGTTTGCCTTGCACGCGGCTGATCCAGGTTTGAATTCCTCTGCCTCTCTCAGAGAGCACGGCAAGCTACCGAGAGTATCTCGCCCACACAGCAAAGCCTGGAAAGCTACCCATGATGTATGTATGTATGTATGTACCCGATATGCAAAAAAACAGTAACAACAAGTCTTACAACACAATTTGTTGTGAGACATTACTGATGCTCGCTCAAGCAAATCAATGAACAATGGGAGGACAGTGCTACAGTGCTTGAGGACTAAGTTGAAACTTTTAGCAGCATTTGGGTATAGTAGAGTTTACATTCCATCCAATGTAGACATAAGGTCTCCATTTCTGGAGCTAGAGAGATAGTACATCGCATAGGGTGCTTGCCTTGCCTTGCATGTGGAAAACCAGGTTTGATCACCAGCACCACAGATGGTCCCCTAAGCATTGCAAGGTATGGCCCAAAAACCAAAAAAGAAAGAAAATATCTTGTTTTAAATCACACAAAATGAATAATAAAAATTTTGTATAGAATGAATAATGTACATTTCAATGCTTCTGGAATATAAAATTATATTTTACATTTATACAGTTCTTTATTTCTAGGGAGTTCTTTAGGATCAGCTGCTTATGCAATTATAAAATTAGAGGATATCTTTCAAAAATCCAGTCATAAGGACTTTTAACTTTGTTTAGTATTAGTTCCCAATGTCTCAAGGGAAAGGAGAATAGGCACTACATGTTTGAAAAACCCCATGAGTGATCCTGAAAATCATTCTGTTTAAGATAATCCATAAACATACAATCAGAGGCATTTTTAGAGTGCTTATTATATATTTTAAAATACTTCATTACCTCTCACTTTTTGCTGTACTTTGCATTTTACAATCTTTTCTTTATCTTCCATGAGTAACCCGATCTTTTTTGCTTTTTTGCTATGCTGCCCTTGTAACACAGCTTTGAAGACTTAAGTAGGTAATGTTTATCTTTGCTCTTTCTGCTTTGTGTCATTTTTAATAGCTATATGTGAGTGATAAATTGAAAAGTGCCTGTGGTTCATTACACATACTCTGGGGGACAATGGTACTTTGACTTCATGATAAACATGCATATTTCTCTTATTTTAGATATTGCAGGAAGATACAATGCATTCCCCATGGACGAGCAACACATTACATGTATTTTGTGCAATTAGTGGCACATCAAGTGACAGAGGATATGGTTCCCCAAGATATGCGACGGAAGTATGAGGATGTGCAGGTGTGAAGGGATGCCAAGTCTGACCTTTCTCAGGAATATCCAGAGACATGTAAATGCTGCGATTTGGAGACTTGCTATACATCGAGTGTTTCTTCCTGACACCAAAATGTTCATGCTTTCATACAGGGTGCTTACGTTTGTGTAAATATTTAAGCAACTTGAAAGTGCCTGGAAAATAGCACCACTGTGCTTGGTTTGTACTTTTTAAGGTAAATCTATAATACTGAGAAGTAGAGATCAAAACATTGATTCCATTTGCTTTGTTAATGTTTAAAATAACCATGGTACTCTGTGAAATTGTATAATGGAATACAATAAAGGGTAGAAGTTATTTGCTATTAGAAGTGAAGGAAATAATACTTTGAACTAAGCCTTTTTATTGATGGGTAGCTCAATATGTTATCTTACTAATCTTTGGAGACTGAGATTTGATGGCATTTCCATAGCACCAGGGAAACTTCAAATGGGGGGGGTGGCAAATAACGTCAAATCTGGCCTACCAGTCATTAAGACTAGGCTAACAGAAACAAAAGCATTATTTTACAAGAAAAATTTCACAAGGAAATAAGAGACATGGAAATCAATACCAGGCTTACTATTCTTTCAAGCTTTGATATGCTGATCCTTGTTGCTGGTCCTCTCTGACACATAAGATGAGTAATTCATTCGTTGTGGTGTGGGTTTCATTAGCTAGCAACTTTGGTTGCCAGAGTTCCATAACTTAGGTGTTCTCTCTGCAATTCTTAACAAACCATTTCTGAGAATTTTCCATCAGTACATCCCACACTACTTCAGCATTTGAGCCTCAAAGACAGAGGTAGGCATTCTATGAAGATAATTTTCTTCAGGTTGAAAGAAAGGTGTACAAGCATTTTGATCTAATTTGATGGTCACAGCATTTCTGGGGTCAATAGATATACTCACCATGGCTTGCTGAGAATTATATTTCTAAAGCTAAGGAAATCTACGACTATATAAATAATTGTAAATGAAACCAAAATGTGAAGAACTCTTTAAACTTGAATTATCTGTATCATTTTGGCTGCCTTTCATGTACATTTTATGTTCTAGATTTTCTTAGGAAGTGAGCCTATTTTATAGACCAAAACCAACAAACAAACACACAGAAGTATAAGTGAGTTACTTGGCTTAACTTTTACTCATACTTCGTGATTGAAGTAAATCTTATAAAGCTTCTACTTCTTGGCCATTTTTCTTTACATGTAATTTTTAAGTTCTCAGGAGAGGATGAAATGAATCACTGAAGGTGACTTTTATATTCTAATAAGGAATATGGAAGGAGTAACCTTTAAAGCTAATTTCATCTTCAAAGTGATGACTTGTAATTAGTATGTCCAAGGAGCCATTGCCAGAGCGAGTGTTGCCATCTGAGAATAAGGCCTCTTGGGAAATTGTTCTGTTTGTTGTCAAGAATGAATCCCTATCATACCCACAGCACACTGTAGATCTTTTTAGGTTTTTTAGGGCTTTTTTTAATTCACCATGAGATATAGTTACAAAGCTTTTGTGATCAAGTTTCAGTCATAACAGTGTTGCAACACCCATCACTCCACCAGTATACATTTCCCATTACCAATATCTCTTGTATCCTGCCAACCCCTCCACCTCCAGCCTGCCTCTATGACAGGTACTTTTCTTCTCTCTCCCTCTCCCTCCCCCCTCTCACCCCTCCCCCTCTCTCCCCTTCTCTCCCCCTTTTCTCCCCCTCTTCCCCCCTCTCTCTCTCCCTCTCTCCCTCTCCCCCCCACTTTTGGGCATTATGATTTGCAATACAGATACTGAGATGCCATCATGTTTTGTTCCTTACCCACTTTCAGCATACGTTTCCCATCCAGAGTGATCCCTTCCAACCATCATCATCATAACAATCCCTTCTCTATCCCAACTGCCTTCCCCCCAGCCCTTGAGACACATTTCCAACCGTGGACTATTCATCCTGGCCCTTGTTTCTACTGTACTTGGGTGTTAGTCTCATACATGAGACTAACATACATTTTTTATATCCCACAAATGAGTGCAGTCATTCTATATCTGTCCTTCTCCTTCTCACTTCACTCAGCATGATACTCTCCATGTCCCACCGTTTATAAGCGCATTTCATGAATTCATTTTAATAACAGCTATATAGTACTCCATTATGTAGATGTAACATAGTTTCTTTAACCAGTTCTGTTCTCCTGTGCACTTGGGTTTTTTCCAAATTCTGGCTGTTGTGAACAGTGCTACAATGAACATACAAGTGCAGATGTCATTTCTGCTGTGTGTTTTTTCACCCTGGGGTATATCCCCAGATGTGGTATTACTGGATCATATGGAAGATTAGTTTCTAGTTCTTTAAGGAATGCCCATATTGTTTTCCAAAAAGGCCGGACCAGTCAGCATTCCCACAAACAATGAAGGAGAGTCCTTTTCTCCCAGCATCCACACTAGCACTGGTCTTATTATTGATGTGTGCCAATGTCTGTGGTGTGAGATGATATCTCATTGTTGTTTTGATTTACATCTCCCTGATGATTGTTGGTGTAGAGAATTTTTTAGGTGCCTTTTGGCCATTTGTATCTCTTTAAGGAAGTTTCTGTTCATTTCTTCATATTTTTGATGGGCTTGGAGGTTTTTCTCATAAAGTTCTACCAGTGCCTTATATATCTTGGATATTAACCCCTTTTCTGATGGGTATTGGTTAAATAATTTTTCCCATTCCATGGAATATCTCTGTAAATAAATGGTTCCCACCCTCAACAAGCCTCCAGTCACATTGGGGATTCAATATATAAAAGGCCCTCCCGTTGATCATCGATTTGCTCGAGCGGGCCCAGTAACGTCTCCATTGGAGACTTTGTTGTTACTGTGTCTGGCATATCGAATACTCTCGGTAGCTTGCCGGGCTCTCCGAGAGGGGCGGAGGAATCGAACTCGGGTCGGCCATGTTGGCTGCGTGCAAGGCAGACGCCCTACCCGCTGTGCTAATATATAGACATGATTAAAAATAGACCAGAAGAGTTGAATATTATGATTGACAAATGAATGGCACACTTCACTGCACTAAATTCGGGAAAGGAAACATCACTATTAGTTGTCACATGCAAGAATGCTTTCAAGAACAAAAGTTAACCCTGCAGAGGTCTTTCAAGATGAGAAGATGTTCTAGCAGGAGGAGCGTTATTTTCAAAGGTGCAGAAGAATTATCAAAAGTATGATGAGGAAATCAGTTTTATTCAGAGGGTGGTAAATAAGTCTAGAAAGAACAATTGGGCCTAGATTTTGGAAGACTTTGAATGCCTGGCTTGTAGTATTTGTACTTCACTCAGCAAACATGGGGGAGATAGTCAAGGTTTTTAAACAGAGACATTACTTGATTAGAGTTTTTTTTAAAAAGATTTAGTCCTTCCTGCTGCTGGTAGGTATGTATGAGGCACAAATGATAGAAATATGGCAGATACACATCCATTGCAGTAATCTAGGTTTAAGTTCATAAGAGCCTACATATGAACCAAAAGGGACTTTTATAAGAGATATTGTGTGGAAAGACTCAGCATGACTTATTGATAGCCAAGTAAAAGAAAATGTTATAAGATAAATTTTGTGTCCTATGGTCTGTAAGTCCTCCAGGTCATGACACAATTTCACTAGATTGATTCCACCATTTCTGGCCTAAGGGCAGTAAGGTAGAGAACAAGGTAGATCAGACTGGTGAGATTTAGTTCCATTTGCTTTTTAAATCTTGCATTATAATTTATATAGTTATTTAGGTATTAGCTACTGTTTGTTACTGTGTTTGGCATATCAAATACGTCACAGGGAGCTTGCCAGGCTCTGCCGTGAGGGCGAGATACTCTTGGTAGCTTGCCAGGCTCTCCGAGAGGGGCAGAGGAATCGAACTTGGGTCGGCCACGTTGGCTGCGTGCAAGGCAAACACCCTACCTGCTATCGCTCCATAGTTTCATCGTTTCTTGAAATAATTTGGCCTCTACAAATTAAGCCACATTTTGAACACATTGTGTAAAATGTCAATCACATTTACTAATGTTTATTTCTTGCTACAATGATAATCCATAGAGAAAATAAGTAGTTCTATGCAAATGTCCAGCCAACAGTAGCATCATATTTATAGATGGGACTTGCTGTTATAAAATTTATATAATTTCATTCCTCTATAAATATTGTAAATGTCTTTTTATAAAAAGTGAAATTGAAAGAAGCTATGACAGCAACAGCCTCAGAACTTTGACCAACACATCATCTTAAAACTAGAATTGACTCATTGGTTAATGAATAAACTGAATTTTTCACCATAATTACAATTCAATCTGTGTGTGTGAGTATGTGTGTGTATGTGTACATGTAGTCCTGAGAATTGAACATAGGTTCTCACATAAGCGAGGCATGCCCCTCTTAGCACTCTAAGCTACATTCCCAGCTGGCCCAAGCTTTGTTTTACAAATACTAGTTTTATCTGAAATGCAGAACCTGTGAAATTTATAAGAATTCTATAAATTCCCAAATATCTAATCAGTTACAGTTCAGGCTTCTAGTTCTACAAAATGTTGAGCTACTGTCAATCTCAGTCTCTTTCTACTACACCAATACTACTACAACAACTGATGGACAATGGGAAATTAATAGAATAAAAGTTGGTTGGAGGTGGGAATGGGTTTAAGAGGATGTTCGCCTATCTTGGGAGTTTTCCACTAATAGTTCTTTTTTTCCTGGTTCCCATTACAATAAATGCTTTTTTCCTAGTCCCTGACTAAATAATGGTCATAATCTAACCAAAAGTATGTCTGTGTTTCTTTGGCTTTAGATTGAAGTTGTGACTAAATTCTTGAGAGTTTTGTTTCTGTGTATGGAATTTAAGTTTTTTCCTGGAGCCATGGATATACCTCAGCAGTAAAATCATTTGCCTTGCATTTGTGAGGGTCTGAGTTCAATCCCACAAGAAAAGCTTCTAACATACATTTTTATCTTCAGTGACCTTTGTTCTCTTCAGTAATTCACATACCAAATAATTCAGCCATTTAAAATGCATGATTCAGTGGTTTCTTTGTACATTCATAGTTGACATCACAGCAATTTATTTTAACATTTTATCACTCCTAGCCCAAGATAACCAATCATCTACTTTACATCTCTATGAATTTTCCTGCTATGGACATTCTATATAAACAGACTCTTACAACACATGCCATTTGGTTGCAAAGCAAATATGAAATGTCTATTCTGATTCTTTATTTAAAAATTGTCTATTATTATAAGAGTTCATTGTATATTCTAGATATAAGTCCATTTTTTGAATAGGTGATTTCCTTATATTTTTTCCTATTCTGTGGATTGCCTTTTCATTTTTGTGATACCATTCTTTGAAGCACAATTTTTTTTTTCATTTTGATGAAGTCCAGTTTATATTTTCTTTTGTCATTTACACTTTGATGTTGTCTCTAAGAAGACTTTGCCTTACCTAAGTTTATGGAGCTCTTCACTTACATTGTCTTTGAGTTTTATAGTTTTAACTCTTTTAATTATTTGATTCGTTCGTGCTTATTTTACTATAAGGTAGGCGTTAAAATTCCTTTTTTCGTATGTGGCTCTCCTGTCCCATTTGTTGAAAAGCTATTTTTTCTCCCATTTAATTATTTTGACATTCTTATAAAAATTAACCATAAATATTTTAGTTTATAATAGACTGAGTTATATTCCAGTGATCCTTATGTCTGTCCTTTAATCACTACCACATTGTCTTGTTTAGTGTGGTTTTGTGGTAAGCTTTTCCATTAGGAAGTGAAGATGCTACAATTTAGTTCTTTTGCAAGATTAAATATTCTGGATTCCCTGCATTTCCACAAGAACTTTAGAATCAGATTTTAAATTTCTGAAAACTGAAAAATGTAGCTGTAATTTTAGTAAGATTTGCTCAATTAAGAGAATATTGCCAGTTTAAGTGTTCCAATCCATAAACAAGGTGTTTTGCTTTATTTTTCATTAATTTGGGTCTTCTTTTTCTTTGAACAATGTTTTATACTTTTTGTTGTAAATACATGCACATTTGTTTAATTTATTCTTCTGTGTTTTATTATTTTTAAGATAGTTTTTTAAATTTAACTTTTAGATTGTTCATTGATAGTTTATAGAGACTCCACTGGTTTTGTATATTGGTCTTGTATCTGAAACCTTGCTGACTCCATTTAGTTACTTTAGTTTTTGTACCACACCCAGCGGTGCTTTGAGTTTACACCTAGAAGGCTCAGTGGGAACTTAGGTGGTGCTGGGGATTGAACACAGGTTGGCTGAATGCAAGTCAAGCATCCGCCCCACTGTCCTATCTCTCCAGTCCTTTAGTCACTTTAATAGATTTTTGTCCATTTTAAATTTTCCATATGATATTATGTCATCTGAAAAGAAAAGAGTTTTACTTCTTCTTTTCTGATTTGGGGGTCTTTTTAAATTTCATTGTCTTTGTACCTAGTTAGAACTGCTAATAGAATATTGAATAGAATCACATAAGCAGACATCCATATGTTGCTATTGATCTTTGGGAGAAAGTTTTCAGTATTCCACCTTTAAGTATGGAAGTGTGGGTTTCATAGATATTTTTTATTAGATTGAAAGTCCCTCTAACATGATTTTTATCTGTTATCTAATTCTCCCAGTAGCTATAAACCTCCGATGACATGTAGGGAAATAGATGACACCAAATCAAAAGAAAGACTGA